AAAAAAAAAAAAAGATTAGATGGTATTTATCCAATGTATGTACAAGCATATAGGAGGCACCCAAAACACAGGGACGCTTACTGCTATTTCTGCTAAAGCCTTCTAGAAACAGAAGTAGATGATTCTTAGTGCCTGACAGTGTCAAACAGAACACTCTCCACCAGGGTACAAAGATAAGGAAGACGCAGACTGCTCTCAGAGAGCTTACAGCCATTATGGGGAAAAGGTATGAGAAGAATCAAGCATTAACAAACGTAGTAATAAAAGTCACTGCATAGTACAGAGGGTTTGTACAGGACAGATGGGTAGTTCTACCCGTATCACTGGCTCTCATAGTCCTTGGTCACCAAGTGACTTTCTGACTGTGATTTCACTTCCTTGGGAACTGTCCTGCGGGGCAAATCTGCCCAAGAGTACACATAAGTTACTCGGGTTGGTGGCTGTATCCCTCATGGTAAACACTAAGATTTATGTTACACTCTAGTCAGTTTCCTTTGAGTTTGGTTAGCATGAGCACCTCTGGGGGTCTGGGCTGGGCTGACCCAATAAAGCAGGGCCCCTTCTGAAGGCTGGGTTTGAGCCGCCAGCTGCGCCCACCTAATTTTCTCTTACTGTTCTGTAGATGGTGCGGCAGGGTTGTTTTCACTGCTACACGAGCTTCTCCTGTCCTGCCTTTAAAAATTGCTCTCCACTCTTTTCAGTGAGTCAGTGACTATTATCTACTCACTGTCTCTGGGATTGCTCCACCGAAGGGACAAGTGACACTGATCGCTGTTGTTTATGAGGTTAACAGGACTCTGGCCAAGGACCCCCAGGGGCCCTGTCTGTCTCTCTTCCTGCAGAGCTACAGACTTCTTGGGCTTCCATGACAGGTACTAACCATCCTCTTCTTTCTCAAGTGATACTGTCTTCTCTTATTCTTCAGTGCCTTTAGTGCTCCCTTCAGGGACTAGAAATGAAGGAGAGACCTGGACTCTCTTCTACCAAATCCTTGGATTCTACCATAATTTCAAAGTAGAGGACTCCCAAGTCTCTGGCTCCAGACTTCTCCTGCATTCCAGACCCACATTTCCAACTTGTCTGGTGGGGAGTGGCAGTGCCTATCCCATCGGGATTTCCAAGATCAGAACTTCTGAAAAGAACTCAGAGGAATTCCCTCCTGATTGACAGTGTTTGCTCAGCCCACCCTTCTCCCCAGCGCTGCACTGCCAGACCCCCAAGGCACTCTCTTCCCTCTGCTTCTGGCTCTTTCCTCCCTTGTCCCCTCACTGTCTGGCTGTCTTTTGGGTCTTGAGCCTGTTCCGTTACTGTGTCTCCTTCCAGCCTAGCATCTTCTGCTCTCTTTTCTCACGCACGTAAATGCTGCCAGTACGCCAGACCCAAGGACAGAGGTCTGGGCCAAACCATCTAATACTTTTTTTCCAGGTAACAACACAAAGGGTCAGGGGAGACAGAGACTGGCTTTGGAATGTCTCCTCTGCCTCACTAAAACAGAATGGGTCTTGGACCAGCTATTTAACCACTTTGAATACACACTCCCTATTCAGTGTGGGGGGCTATTATTTGCTGTGCCCCAACTGGCAGCAAACTCTGGTGTATGTTCTGGCACAAAGCAGACCCTCAACACATGATGTCCTTGCTGCAATGGAAGGAAATACAGAAAGAAGACAGTTGCATTTGCCTTGCTTGGCCTGCAGTATTTTTACTGCCTTTAAAATGAGGAGTTCTATTTTAGCAAGTTCCAAGGAAGGGAAAGTATTACTAAAGGGTAAGGAATATTGTTTTAAGGGGTAATTTTCCTTTCTTCATTCCATTACCCAGATCAACAATCTTTCCCTTTGACCATGCTGTCTGCACCTTTTGTCAAGCTTGATGAATGGTTGCCTATCAAATGACCACCTGGGAAGGAAGGAGGCCCAGCAAAGCCAGAAGGCATCTCTCTGTGTGCAACATTTGTTTTGTGGTCCTCTACTAAGGCCACATATGGGTGACTCTAATGATGCTGCAGTCGCTGGTGAGACATAAAATGAATCAGTCAAAATTTTTAATAGGATGGGGGGTACAGAAGGCAGGGAGGAGCTGAAGTTTAAAGGGATGGAGACTGTTTATTCTCTTATCCTAAGGACAACTCAATAACCGCCCTCAGAAATCTGAAAAGCTATACAGGAAGTTTGTGCAGTTATGGAGGCATCAGCCAAGCTTGTGCATGATAAATTATCTGCCTTGGGCTGTGATGGACCCAAGAGAGGGACCAACTGTCTCTTCTAGGTCACTTCTAGTTCTAGATTCTACGAAACCCTGTGCACCTGTGGCCATGTAGCCCAGAGCCCTGTCCTCTGGGGAAACAGGTCTGAAGAGCTTCGCTCTGCTTTGGTGGCTCAATTTGGCAGCTAGAACTTAGCCTCAATTTCCTCTCCTTGTTCTGAAATAATAGCGACAAATCTTATTCTCAGTTAGATTAAAATTTTCAGTCATCTTATTCAACGCTTGCTGTTTTCTGACACATGCAGATGAGGATCAGGGCGTATATGTGGATGGAATCAATTATAATTTGATTAAGACAGATCAGAAAGAAAGGAAGTAATAACAATAATCATTTCATTTGTAAAGACTTCCCTCACCACCCAGGCTCTTGGAGTGCAGAAAAGGCAATTAAAATAGGGTTCAGTTAAAAATACCATAAAACAGAAATCAAATAAAATATTAAAAAGCCAAAGTGCCATTATTAAATAAGTGTTTTTGAGAGGGGGTTCCTCAGACAATAACAGTCCAGAGAGACCGGGAAATCAGCCGTGGAGAGGGAGGAGGCACCCTTGAGGTACATTGACAGTGAATACTACTTCATTGTCCTAGCTTGAAACCTTTGTTTTATTGAAAAATGAAAAATAAGCTCCCCTTGGTCACTCTACAAGTATGTGAGTCATTCATTTTACATTTCCAATTCTTAAGTGCCCTGTGTTCCGGGCTACTTCGCTTCATAGAGGAACACCTCCATTGACCTGTCTGCGATGTATTGTGCATTAATTTGAATCTGCTAATTGTCTTCGCTCTCCTGCCCTGGACAATGAGGACGCATCCTCAGCCCTCTTGTACCAAAGAGGAATCAAGCAAGAAACACAGAGAAAATGCTATAATTATGGCTATTCATGCGACAACCTCAACATTCAAAGGAGAGATGAGGAATTGTCTAATGCTGACTGTGACTTTTATTAAAAACCTGAAAAGAAAAAAAGTATCTGCCAACACCGTCATGTACAAAACAGAGAGATTTAGGAGACCTGAGTTTTAATCCTAGTTCTATGACTTTGGGCAAGTCACTCTAATCTCTCTGAGCCTCCGTTCTCAAATTTATAAATCAAGGGGAATGAACTAGGTACATTTAAGTCCCTTTCAGCTCTAAAATTCTCTGCTCCTCTGTGTAAACGCAGAGCACGGGTATTTTCTCTGTTGAACCCTTCCCTACCTCTGTAGAAAGCCGGGGAAACAAGATCCTTGGAAGTATATCATCTAAATAACCAGAAGGGATGTAATTAAAGTCAGGGTTCTGTTCCCACAAACACACCCAAGGACCTTCCCATAAAAACACCGTGGTAATTAACGAACCTGCGAACTGCGCCCTGCTGCCCTCCAGGCCCTGCCA